AATCGTAAAAACACGAGTAAAGAGTACGAGTACTTGAAAAAAAAATGTTAGTTAATACAATTGATTATTTTTTATACATTATACATACTTTGGTCCTTAGCTATAAAAATACAAATAGAAATTTATAAAATTATTTAATTTATACATTAATCACAGGGTGATCCCCTACAATGTCGCCACCTTTAACTTTTTTATTTTAAGTGTCCAAAAAAAAAAGTGTGGTTATGTAGGTACTAAAAAATACTTTTTTTCCACTTATAAGAAAAATTGGGAAATTGATCAGTATACAGGAAAAAACAAAAGGTTTATTTTTTTTGTCAATGGATCACCCTATATATAAATTTATTTTTCGATTCCTTGTAAAATTCTAAACATAAATCATATAACATACTATATACGTAATATTTCAACCGTTTCTGAAATAATCGCATTTGAAACGTTATCATCAAATATTTTTTACAAATCAAGAAGCCTTAGAATAACAAAATGTTTATTGAAAATAAATAACTATAGTGACATTATGTCATTATGTCTTGTTAAGTAAGTAAAAATGGCGTACTTAAACCGAGAAAGTAAAAATTTTTTTAACTTATTATCTTAAAAATAATTTAAATATTTCAGAAACGGCTGAATTTCACAAGGAATCAAAAATAAATTCATATATAGGGTGATCCATTGAGAAAAAATAAACTTTTTGTTTTTCCCTGTATTTTTTAGTTCCTACATAACCACATTTTTAAATTTTTTAGGACACTTAAAATAAAAAAATTATAGGGGGGGCGACATTATAGAGGATCACCCTGTACATAAAATAATAAATAAAAATGACAATTCTTAAATAGTTCATAATTTTACCTACAGTGTGACCCATTTGATTGGGACTCACCCCTGTAAAATCTTTAATTATTGTGCGATTTTAACCAGATTTGTTATACTTATTACTCGTACTTACAAACCAAATTCAATGTACTCGTAAAAAATACTCGTGGAATTCACGGATAATATATACGAGTATTTCCGTCTATTATATCGATGACTTTTTGCCAAAATATCGTAAGCATCAAAACATTTTGTTTGGAAGTCTGTTTTAAATTATATAATATAATATATATATTAGGGTGATTCAAAAAAAGCCTTTTTTTAAAAATGAACCCGCACTGGCCTAAATTATAAAGATTACATTAAAACTAAAATATTGATACCAAAAAATCCAAATTCGATTAATATTTAGAGGTCGCTCAAATCGATTTTCGTATTTTTGCACTTTCGAGCCGCGAAATTATTACTGCACAAAATAGTAAATAACTCCGTTAGTTTTTAATCGATATTATTAAAAATTTAAGGGTTACCTAGTTTTTTAATACCCTCTGAGACAATGTATTGAACTTTACAGAAAAAAAAAATTTTTCATGAAAAAAAATAATTTGTTAATAAAAACGTATCATCTTATAAAATAAGCAACAATTGGAATCGCACTATGATGGTACCGTAAAAAAACTAAGAAAATAACACTTAAATTATTTAGTATACAGAAAACCTGCCGAAAGAAATATTTTATTTGATTTATATAAAATATAACCTAAAAATAATTAAGTAATTTAGATTTTTCCCATTTTTAAACGATTTTATAAATAATTTATATCCGTTTTATTAATTATGACGTATTTTTATAATATTTCTTTATTTTTGATACCATCTTTAATTAATTACACTAGGTAGTTATTAAATTAGGTCCTTTTTACAACAAAAATAAAATAACGTTAACTACAAAATTATTCACTGCATTGATATGGCTTAAGCAGAAATTTAAATTTTATTAAAATTATTGACATACAACAATTCTCAAATTTTGATACCAAAATTATTTGATTCTGTCTAGATGTTGCTAAATTGACATACCACAATAATAATTATAATTATTATTCTTAAATTTTGATAGTAGGACCTACTACCAGGTAGTTGATAAATTATATAAATATAAATATATATATATACAATATATATACAATGTATATATTATACATATATATATATATATATATATATATATATATATATATTATTATTTACTTAATTCAAAAGCGTCTAAGTACCAGATGGATGAACAAAGCTATATACTCTCTAAAGATTTTCTTATTTCGGGATCAATTTAAACTCACTAACAATGAAAATAAGTCATTGCGTAGAATTTGTATTTTTATTATTTTGTTTACATATTTGCCTGGTTCCAAGCTCCAAATGCAACTTGCGCGCCCAAAAATGATTTGAAAACACTTCATGAACTTCATGTTTACAAAAATATAGATTTGCAAATAGAAGAGCTAATTTGTTTGGCATTTTTTAATAAAAGAGTACCTACTGAAACAAAAGAAAAAATGGTTGAAAAAATTAACATTAAAAACAATCATTGCAAAGTAAAAGATGTAGAGCAGTGGATTTTTTTAAATTTAATTATAAAAAGGACATAAATTAATAACTACTTAGTGTAATTAATTAAATATGGTATCAAAAATAAAGAAATTTTATAAAAATACGTCATAATTAATAAAACGGATATAAATTATTTATAAAATCGTATGAAAATGGGAAAAATTTGAATAACTTAATTATTATTAGGTTATGTTTTATATAAATCAAATAAAATATTTCTTTCGGCAGGTTTTATGTATGCTAAATAATTTAAGTGTTATTTTCTTAGTTTTTTTACGGTACCATCATAGTGCGATTCCAATTGTTGCTTATTTTATAAGATGATACGTTTTTATTAACAAATTATTTTTTTTTCATGAAAAATTTTTTTTTCCCGTAAAGTTTAATTCACTGTCTCAGAGGGTATTAAAAAACTAGGTAACCCTTAAATTTTTAATAATATCGAATAAAAACTAACGGAGTTATTTACTATTTTGCGCAGTAATAATTTCGCGGCTCGAATGTGCAAAAATACGAAAATCGATTTGAGCGACCTCTAAATATTCATCGAATTTGGATTTTTTGGTATTAATCTTTTAGTTTTAATGTAATCTTTATAATTTAGGCCAGTGTGGGTTCATTTTTAAAAAAAGGCTTTTTTTGAATCACCCTAATATATATAGTATATATTATAATATAATACATTATAACCTATAGGTTTTATAACAAGTATATACAGTGTGACTTATTTGTTTGCGACTCACCCCTGTAAAATCTTTATTTATTGTGCGATTTTAACCAGATTGGTTTTAAAGTGTAGATCTGGATAAACTGTATTTTTGAAGCAAAAAACGCCAAATTTTTATAAAATACAAGGCCTACTGTGTCAGTTTTTAAGAGTAAATTTTTAAGAATTCATTTTAGCGATTTCTTTCAAACAAAATCTAAGCATGGCACTGTATGCACAACCTCTCAAAACGACCCTATACTAAATTTTATTAAAAAAGTAGAAAAATGCACAATAATAACTAAAAAAATGTATTCTGTCAAGTTGTCCATAAAAAAACATTGAAATAAAATTAAATTAATAGTTTAATTTTATTTCAATGTTTTTTTCATGGATTACTTCACTTAATAAATTTTTGTAGTTATTATTGTGCATTTTTCTACTTGAAATTTTTCAATCAAATTTGGTAAAGGGTCGTTTTGAGGAGTGGTTAATCCAGTGCCGTGCTTAGATTTTGTTTAAAAAAATCGCTAATATAAATTCTTAAAAATTTACTCTTAAAAACTGACATAGTAGGTAGCCCTTGTATTTAGTACAAATTTGGCGTTTTTTGCTTCAAAAATACAGTTTATCCAGATCTACACTTCAAAACAAATCTGGTTAAAATCGCACAATAAATAAAGATTTTACAGGGGTGAGTTATAAAACCTATAGGCTATAATGTATTATATTATAATATATACTATATTATATAATTTAAAACAGACTTCCAAACAAAATGTTTTGATGCTTACGATATTTTGGCAAAAAGTCATCGATATAATAGACGGAAATACTCGTATATATTATCCGTGAATTCCACGAGTATTTTTTACGAGTACATTGAATTTGGTTTGTAAGTACGGAGTAATAATTATTTTAAATGAAAAATAATTATGAGTAAAAAAGTACTCGTACTTTTTTACTCGTAATTGAAATACGAGTAAAAGTACTCAGTACTTGGCCAGCTCTGTATGCATACTATGTAAACATTTAACGCAATAAATTCTTTGACATTTAGGCAAAATGTTTCCCTATTTTGGTTTAATAGTAATTAATTGAGCAAATAACAATTTAGATTGCTTCAATTTTAATGCATGACAGCGCTGTTAGATTTTTTTATGTGTAGGTGTAGCAAGTGTTAAAAGATTAAATAAAATATATTTCCTCTTCACATCATGTCTATAACACATTTCTGCCACAACTACTCGTATTTTTTATTGACACCACTTTAAAGGATAGATTTTGACTAAGCCATAAAAAGTGATTACAGTGCATATTGTCAAACAGACGGGCAGTGACGTGTGATTAAAATGCTAAAAAATATATTGATAAATTTTAAAATGGGTCCGAGTACAAGTACCAATACAGTTTAATAATCAAAGTAATAAAAAAACTATTTTTTTAAACTGTACCTTTTTATTCCAAATTGTCCAAATGGTCTGGCACTATGAACACTGTAGAACACAATGGTTCGAAAATACTATAGAAATAAAGTAGTGCTTTTCAATAGTGTCTAAGAGTGTTTTTCGAAGCGGGTGGGACATGTGTTTTTACAGCTTTTTTTGTTGTGTATAATTTGTATTATTTATTTATTTAATTAATATTCTAAAGACTTTAAACTCAATTACAGAATATATGTATTTACAAAAATGTATAATATAAAATAGTTAAAATTAACTCTTGTCTTTCTGAGTGTTATAATATAAAAATTGTTATAATAAAAACAAATACATTTGTATGACAAAGATCAAGTGAGTCCTGTAGAATGCCCGCTTTTGATTCTTTATAAGCCTGTCCTAAAGCGAATCTTCACACTACTTACTTTGAAATCTTTCGATAGTAAACCCTACAGTGGGTACGATTTGTGTAACTCTTTCCTCTTCATTTTTAAATCTGTTTACGACAGTGGACTTTCCACTATTATTTAGACCAACCACTAAAACATTCACTTCCTTCCTCTTCACGCCCAAAAAATAAGCTAATTTTTGAAACAAACCCATGTCATGGTTTTTACGATTATTGGACACACGATGTACATTTATATCAAAAATATTCTCAGTGCAATAAGTAAATTTGGTTTCAGTTTAAGTTCACATTAGATAGGAAATAAATATTTAACAGACAGTGTTTGTATTGTCAGATTCATGACTGTTTGTAGTTGCTATGGGCTACGATCAATGATACAAATTAAATTCTATTGTTTTTTTCAACAGTAACACATGTTGAAGTCCGCTGACCGGAAAGGACAACTTTGGTGATATGTTATGTACCTAATTAGTTACATTTCGCTTTTGAAGATGCCAACATCGTTGGCGAAAAGTACTTCAAGCACTTTATGTTTTGTTTTGGTGTTGGGGAATATTTTTAATATTTGTTTAGTAACATCACAAGAGAGTAAGAATAAATTGAAAAAAATTGACAGACTTATCTAAACTGCGCACCACTCAATGTGTCGCGACCATAAAGTTCGTTCTTTTTCAAAACGACATAACTTTTTTGTTTCTTGAACGATTTTATTTTGGTCTGTGATGTCTGGTAGCCTCATCCTCTGGCAATTCATGCTATAGATATGAAGCTCACGGTTCGTCAAGTAAATTTCCTACAGGGTGATATGTTTACCGGTGAAAAATTTCAATAACTTCATCCAAACCCCGTTTGTAAAAAAATAATTTTTATTTCGTTTTTACTTTGAAATAATAAAGTATTATGTGTTACCTTGAAACATTTTTCTAATTTTTCTAATTGGAATCTTAGCAACGAAAATATGATTTTTTTCCCAAAAGAGTGCATTTAAGGCTTTTTGTAAGCAATACATTTAGTCTTTTTAGGAACAAGAAAATAAGATGGTAAAAGATTGTTCCTTAAATAATTCTGAACAAGCGACAAGCAACAAACTTCCATTATTTTCAGAGGGCCTAAGCTAAGACCACTTTTGGAAAATGACATTTTTGTGAAAAAACTAAACCTAAACCGATATTTACGTTCGTAATATTTTTCTTCATAATTTTGACCTCCTGATTGTGATTTAGTTGTCAAATTTAAGTTTCAGATAAAACATAAATCACTAAGATTCAAGATTCGAAAACAATTCCCGGCTGTTAAATGTCTCAATAAAATCCGATTGCTGGTTTTTACTGTTTTTTTACTGTGTTTTGCATCTTTAGTACGTTATTATCATGTCTCTGAATGATCAAATCGAGGATCAAATGATGAAAATTAGTTCTTGTAAAACATTAAAAACGCATTATGAGGGATATTCTTGATTTTTTCAGTTTGCTTCTGTTTTTCCAAATTTCGAAATTTTTGCATAAGTTATACCTACCTACCTACATACCTATCCCTATGTTACCCAGGTTACTTTTATTCTTCCTTGAACATAGAGATAGTTTTTCTATGTTTAAATTATTAAAATGCCAATGCCAGACTTTGCTGCAGCTACGGGAATTAACATCTCCAAATCAACGGTTCGCAGAAGATTGCACGAAACGGGAGGCAAGGGTGGCTTTTGGAAATGGAGGAGTGACTGTTTGGGGTGAAATGGCGATGAATGGAAAAAAAGAATGCTGAGAGATTTAGAGATTTTGTTGTTATTGATATCGTGGTCTCTTATGCTCAAAATGTTGCCAATAATTGGTGTTGGTGGACGACAATGTCCGCCAAATTGAGAGAATGAATTGGCCACCTTTGTCTCCGGATGTGAATCCTATTGAGCATGTGTGGAGCAGGATGAAATTGAAGATGAAAGAGAGGGAAGGACGCATGGAAAATTTGGATTAATTCGTAAATGCTATTCAGGAAGAATGGGGAACCCCAGGAATTTCTAAGGAACTTGTCTCGAGGGAATGCCCAGGAGGCCAACGAAATATATGTTATTATTGTTATTGTTTGTTACATTTTTCTGTTGAATGTTGAAGTTTTGATTATGATTATATCTACGCATAAAATTTTCAAAAATGAACAAAAATATTTTTATTTAACTTTATTACCAATTAGGTAGGTACTTATCAATGATGTTATCACTACTGCGCAATGTACAGTTGTATTCATTAAAAAAGCGTACAAGAATTAGAATGAGAGAAAACTGTCAACATTATTGCGTAAAACCGGCTTTCCACTGACTTAAGTCACTATAACTGACAGTAGAAAATAAAAATGCCTCGTCAGTTAAAAATGCTCAAATAGTATCAAGAATCGAAGAAGAATGGTCAATTCGTACTGTGGTATAATAGAAATAAAAAATCTATATTAAAAATTAAGCAACGCTGGGAACAGGAAGATTTACTAAACCAAAAAGTTGGTTCAGGTCGTCCCAAAATGTCCACCCCTGAACAAGATGCTGCTTTTTTGAGATATCTGAGGATTTATGGGAAACTATACAACTATACTATACCTACTATACTGCTGGGAAGATATTAATCCAAATATTGTATTAAATTTAATTCAGTTCATCTCAAATAGATTGGCTCAAGTAATAGAAAAACAGGGATGCATGAATAAATATTAAATTTTTTTTAATGTTTGTTTTTTTCATTATTAAAAGGTACTAATTTTTGTAATATTATTTAATTAACCTACGACGTCAATGCTCTTTATAACCTATAATAATTATTTTAATGACTTATGTCAGTGATAAGCCGGTTTTAAGCAATAATATTATTTTGACAGTTTTCTCTCATTCTAATTCTTGTACGCTTTTTTATTGAATACAACTGTAAATGCATATGTAAATGTTTATGTGTATGTAACATTATCCTAACTACTCAAACAAATTGCAGTAATTTCGTCCAAAAATGAATCCCCAAATGGCATTTTCATCATAAATATGCAAGAAACACGCCAGCAATCGGATTTTATTAAGACATTTAACAGCAGGGAATTGTTTTCCAATTTTGATTCTGGGTGATTTTGGTTTTATCTGAAACTTAAATTTGACAACTGAATCAAAATCAGGAGGTCAAAATTATAAAGAAAACATGTCACGAACGTAAATATCGGTTCAGGTTTAGTTTTCGCAAATTTTCACAAAAATGTCATTTTGAAAAAGTGGTCTTTGCTTAGGCCCCTCTGAAAATAATGGAAGTTTGTTGCTTGTCGCTTGTTCAGAATTATTCAAGGAATAATCTTTCACCATCTTATTTTCTTGTTCTTAAAAAGACTTAGTGTATTGCCTACCAAAAAGCCTTAAATGTACTCTTTTGGAAAAAAAAACATAATTTCGTTGCTAAGATTCCAATTCGAAAAATTTTAAAAACTGTTCAAGGTAACACATAATACTTCATTATTTCAAAGTAAAAACGATAAAAAAATTATTTTTTTACAAACGGGGCTTGGATGAAGTTATTGAAAATTTTCACCGGTAAACATATCACCCTGTAGGAAATTTACTTGAAGAACGGTGGGCTTAATATCTATAGCATGAAATGCCAGAGGATGGGGTTAGCAGACATCACAGACCAAAATAAAATCGTTCAAGAAACAAAAAAGTTATGTAGTTTTGAAAAAGGACGAACTTTTGGGTCGCGACACATTGAGTGGTGCGCAGTTTATTTCAAAACTTGTCTTGCAATAGCCAGCTTGAGCTTGAGTGGCTATTGCCTTATGACAACAAGTTTGAGAATTATTTGGAAAATTACTTTCTTATTTATTGAACTCTCGAGTGGTAATTAAAAATATTATTTTTTGACATTTATTATAGAATTTACTGATTTGGGTGTTTGAATGTATTTTTTCTTATTTGCACATTTATTTGTTTGTTTATTTTTTCTTCCGATGTGGAACTAAACCCTTTGCTGCTTATTTAATTTATTACTAATGACAGATGCCGTGGTGTTTTTGCGGGAATAATGCATGTAACATTATTCTCAATATAATAATGTTTTGATTGGCTAAAATATACACACATCACTAAAATTAAAAGTTTATATTGGTTTTTAGAAACGTCAAAAAATGATCTAAGGTAATTTTGTAAATCTTAAATAACGCACATGTTTTTCATTACCTCTTCTGGTAACATTTAGAAATCTCATAGTTTAAATTCTAATTAGAGACAATTTTACCTTTTGGGTGGAGTTTGCAAGGGTCAATCACCAAATTGGAGAATTTGGTTTCTACAGAATTCTGTCTGATAAATTATAAACATAAGACTAGATCTTATGTTTATAATTTATTTAACAATTAATAAAACTATTGGAATTTTAATTAATTAATTGCTAAGTGTATTTAATTTGTAAATAAAATTTTAAAGAATAACTTCAATCCACTCTTTAGTCATGTCTCATTAAATTAGAGCGCTCAAGATTTTATAACTAAAATAAATTATCAAACTATAGTAATATAAAATAGAAACCCATGTTATATATAATTTATTTTAGTTATAAAATCTTGGGCCCTCTAATTTAATGAGACATATATATATGGGGCATTCCATGCCAACTCATCCTACCGATTGGATTTGCATCTCCGATTTCGCTGAAATTTGGGTATCTTTTTGTACCCTTCGAAAAAGGTTTCTATGAATTTTTTCAAATTTTTTCATTCAGCCAATCGAGAGATATGAATTTTCGAAAATTTCGGGTATTTTTTTTTAAATAGCCATAACTTGGTGAAAAATTGTCCGATTTGGGACTTTTTTTTTCAAATTTCGTGTTTTTTGATGAACTTTTTGAAAAATTTATGCAAAAAATTATTCATCATAAATTTGATTGTTTTTTTTCATTCCAAAGTTAAAACAAGAATTTTAAGATTGTTTGTATCCTTCAAATTTTTTTAAAAAATTCTCAAAAATTCTACTCTTCAAAACACAAATTTTAAGCCTAGTCTCGTATTGGGATAATAATGGGTTATAATTTTTTTTTAATTTTTAAATTATTTTTTTTTTCTGTTTTTTTTCACTATTTGTGTATTACTGGCGGCTTTATTAGATGAGATTCGAAAAAAATCATACATCAATATAATAAATAATTGAAGTCAAAATTTCAATTTCTAAGGTAAATTTTATTTATAACTTTTTAAAG